CAGGGGCGGATCCAGGGGAGGGGTTGAGGGGGTTGCAACCCCCCCTTTGAGCAGCATTTTAATTTTTTTTAATTCTTCTTTAAAAAAAATAAGAACAAAATTGTCTTTTACGAAGTTGTTTCACTTCCACCATTCACCTGCTTTTGCGGATTTAAAAAGATAATATACATTTCGCAACTTCTGTCAGTGTGGGGGATCAGTTACTTGGGAGAAAGTCTTATTAGGATCGCGTGACGTCCTCAGGGTCATATATAATAGGAACACAGGTGAAATTCATTCAAGCGTAAACGAGCGGGATTGGGACCGAGCGAATGTTTGAGTCAGTTGCTGAGGTCGAAGAACGTACGAACTGGAAGCTGTCATGAAGAAAATAACCGATTTTTATGCGAAGAAATCAGGTAAGTTCGTGTTTTTTTTTTAAAAAAGACGGTTAATTATATTTAATAACAATAATAACTACTTTCAACACCCGATAGCCTTGACATACCGTGCAATTCATACAACAGATACAAAGTGTATTTTTCATTGTCCACCAGTTGAAAGCTGACTGGCAAGAAAATCATGTCTTTTGAACATAAATAAACATTTTGCAGGTTCAGCCCAGTCGAGGCCTGAAGATAATGAAGGTATTAATGAAGGTAAGCAGAAATAAAATTGTTCTTAAACGGAGACAGAGAAAATAATTTATTATACTTCACTACGTGAACTGTCATTATAATTATAAACACAGAAAGCTTCGACATCCGATAGCTTCGACACGCGATAGCTTCGACACGCGATAGCCTCGACATACCGTGCAATTCATACAAAGTGTATTTTACATTGTGCACCATATTGAAAGCTGACTGGCAAGAAAATCATGTCTTTTGAACATAAATAAACATTTTGCAGGTTCAGCCCAGTCGAGGCCTGAAGATAATGAAGGTATTAATGAAGGTAAGCAGAAATAAAATTGTTCTTAAAACGGAGACAAAGAAAATAATTTATTATACTTCACTAAGTGAACTGTCATTATAATTATAAACACAGAAAGTGCTCCTCCTAACAAGCAGCCAAGAATCAGCAACCCTGACGATCAGGCTGGAGGGTCTGGGATCGAAGGTAGAATTTCTTATTTTTATTTATCCGAAAAGTAAACTTATATCGGCCAGCACCAACAAAAAGTATTTATTCCAACGTTGCAAGAAGTCTAGTGAATTCCAAATAAAACTGACTAGTATTATAATTTCGTTTTGTACACAGCTTTGCCCGATGAAGTATTGGTCGAGGTGTTTAAAAACTTCTGCCTTAAAGAATTGCTTAAAACAGTGTGCCTGGTCTCAAAGAGGTGGAGGCACATTATAAACAACAATAACATTCTGTGGAGTTGCCTACTTCTTGATGAGTGGCCCATGCAATATTTAAATGAAGAACAAATTGTTAATTTCATGTCGCACTCCAGTGGGTTCAGATATTTATCTATAAGATATATCGAAATAACAACATCAGAAAGGAGGCTTCAAACATTGTTAGGAGATAGTCTGGGATTTTCTAAACGTTTGAGATATCTGGATTTAAGTGGCCAACCGATATCATCCCTTAATTTCCTATTGACTGACTCTAATTCTTCTCCTCTTGAAACCTTAATCCTAAATGACTGTAGAAAAATAGATACTTGTTGTTGCACGGCTATTTTAGAGCAATTACAAAATCTTACAGTACTATCACTCAACAGAGTAGGATTCACTGCCAATCAAGTGGCAACTATTACTTCCTCATTATGCTCATTGAATGTTCTGTGCCTGGTTGGTGTAAGCCTTGAAAGAAACGACGTAAGGCTGATTTTGCAAAAATTGAACAGCCTTCAGTTTTTTGAAATATCTTGCAGTTCCGAAGATAAAGAATATATTGATGCTCTAGGGGAAGAATATGACGTTACTTTTGTCTGCCTCTAAGAGTAAAAGCATGTTACATACTATAGCGGCATAACAGTGTTATGTTATAGAAAATAGTTTGTCATTTAGTGAAGGTATATATAACCAAGACATTTTTCATGTGACCTGTAAAGTACAATAAAAGCAGGCTATTGTATTTATTTAATGCATGTGTGTCAATTTTATTGAGGTTATTGCAAATAGATAAAGGACTAACCTATTAAAAGTTGTGAATGTATACAAATAAACTCTTTTTGTAAATTTTAGATGTAGCTGCAAAATGTCCTGTGCCTACCACTTCTGGTTCAACCACAGGCACAAAGATTGATTTGGGAACTGTTGTCAAAGATGCTGCAGGCTCTTGGGATGTTTTGAGGCGATTATCGCACGAAATTACAGATGAAAAAAGAATGCAATACCTTACATTACACTGCAAACCTTCTGAGTCTGATATACTTCATTCTCATCAAGTTACCAAAGGAAAGAAGACATGGAAAGTTTCTTTTCAATCGAAATGGCTGAAACAGTTCCCATGGCTTTGCTACAGCTACATACTTGAAGGTGGGATTTGTAGTCACTGTATCTTATTTCCTAACAAAGTTACCAAGGGTACAACACCAGGTGTATTGGTCACAGTACCGTACCAGAAATCTTACACTAAGGCACTTGGCAAGGATGGCATCCTCAACTGTCATGAGCAATCTGCGATGCATAGATACGCAACTGAACAGGCAGACCTCTTCAAACAAACTTTTCAGAATCCTGAGAGGTATAGAGTAGATTCCCAGCTGGCGACGGCCGAAGCCAATCAAGCCACAGAGAACAAAGAAATTCTACGACAGATTGTTCTAGCTGTTGAGTTTCTAGCAAAGCAGAGTCTGTCCTTTAGAGGACATCGTGATGATCGTGTCGATTTTTCAAGTTATGAAACTAACAGAGGAAACTTTGTTGCTCTACTTCAATTACTTGCGAAAGGAAACGAGCCTCTTCAGAAGCACCTCATGTCAGCAAGCCGACAAGCAAGATATACCAGCAAAACTATTCAGAATGAGGTCATTCACGTGTATTCATCAAAAATTAAGGAAAGGCTGACAGCAGAGCTGAGGGACAAGGGCCTCCCTTTCACGATTATAGCAGATGAGGGTACAGATCCACACTCAAACCAGGAGATCTTATCTTTATGCCTGAGGTTTGTGGACCAGTCTTCGCCAAACGATCCTCATGTCAAAGAATGCCTGATTAGTTTTATGCACTTACAACGAACAAATTCCACCATGATTTCAAGGAAGATTTTGGAATCTCTCTCTGATCCATCTGTTTCTTTGGATCCTAGCAACATCCGTGGTCAGGCATATGATGGAGCTTCTGTTATGTCAAGTGGAAAGGAAGGAGTGCAGGCTAAGATAAAAGAGTTCAGTCCGTTGGCTCTTTTCACGCACTGCTATGCTCACTGCCTAAACCTCTCCATCGCAGCAACATGCAAACTGGCAGAAGTGCGAAATTTGATAGGTCTGATTAACGAAGCATATCTTTTTTTAAATAACAGCCCGAAGCGACAGCAGCTGTTTGAGTTGACACTGAAAGAATACCTTCCTGAGAATTCTCACAGCAAGCTTCCAGGTCTATGCAAGACACGCTGGGTGGAAAGGCACACATGTCTAGATGTTTTTCTTGAAATGTATGAGATTCTTCTCACATTTCTTGATGCTATTGTTGCCCCCCACGAATACCCGAATTTAAAATCATCTACTGGAAGCTGGAACTGGGACAAGGATACCATCACAAAAGCCCAGGGACTGAAAGCCTCTTTGTCGTCATTTCAGACAGTAGTGGTTTTCATTACAACCAAGAATATTCTTGATGAAGTCAAAGCTCTTGCATCAAAGCTGCAGAAACGGGACCAAGATATTTATGAAGCATACATGATGGTTGATGAAGTAATTGGAAACATCAAGTCTGCTAGAAAAAACATTGACAGCGACTTTAAAGTGTGGTACACAGAAGTATTAAACCTTGCCGAGAAACTGGGAATCGTGGAAGCCGTACCCAGGAAGACAAGCATACAGAGGAACCGCTCAAACATTCCCAGCTCTAGTCCAATTGATCATTATAAAAAATCTGTGGCTATTCCCCTCCTTCATTCCTTGATTAGTCAAATGGAAGACCGGTTTTCTGTCGAAGACCGCCACGCACGCCACTTGCTTTATCTTGTTCCCTCAATCATAGTTCAAAACACCATGGAGCTATCTGAAGCAACAAAAGGCATGCTGTTCTGGGAGAATGACCTTCCTTTTCCCAAATCCCTTGGGAATGAGCTGCGAAGATGGCAAACTATGTGGCAGTCAACAGAGAAGGACCTCCCAAACAATCTTTTATTGGCACTTGGCGCGTGTGACGAGGATGCTTTTCCAAACATCCATCGTCTTCTACTCATCGCATGCACCCTACCAATCAGTAGTGCGGAAGCTGAGCGGTCCTTTTCGCTCATGAAACGGATCAAGACCTGCACCAGATCAACGATGTCTGAAGAGCGCTTCTCAGACCTTGCTGTAATTGCGATGCATTACCCTGAGAGATTCGAGGTAGACGAGATCTGCGAGGCTTTTGTAAAAGCCCATCCAAGAAGACTTTTTCAGGCTTCGTTGTTTGATTAATGAGGTATGCTAATGCAGTAGAAAAACGACAACAACTGCTGGACAGTTCAATCATACATTATTATTTTTTAATTTCTGTCTGAGAAATAAGATTAATCCCAGATTTTATATCATGCCTTCACAAAATCTAAACATCATATTTTTGGGGGACAGGTATGACACTGGAACTGTTAAGAGCTCACGCCAGAGGCATGGGGCCATCACTCGCCTTCTGCCATTGGCGATAAAAGTGTACTACAATAATGTACAAACGGGCCGCCGCAAGGGTTTCAATAAAAGCCGGTTACCGGCGGTTTACTGCCGCCTGTCATGCCTCTTTCAGCCGTCTATTCACAGTTTGTAATTCTTAGTCTCTCTTCTACTAGAACTAAACTAATAAGTAATGCAAGAAAGCAACGGAAGAATTCTAGAACGGAAGACAACGTCAAAAAAAACACTCTTTCCAACCTTGAAATACAGGCTACAACAACACGCCTTTTGATGCCCAGAATGCTGGAAATTGCATTTCCGAGCTTCTAGATTTCAAATTTTTCTGGGGGGGCATGCCCCCAGACCCCCCTAGTTGGAAGGGGCCTTGCGGCCCCTTCTAAATCACCGACATCTGTACAACCCCCCCTTTCAGAAAATCCTGGATCCGCCCCTGCTTACTGTACCTCGCTATGTTCAGTGCATTTGGTTGGCTCGGTTGTTGTTCGACACGATCTTGTACTTGAGCGTGAAGATACATACATACAAACATACATACATAATGTTACATACATACAAACACACATATATATATATACATATATACATACATTTATTTAATTGACTGAGCCCCTTTGACAGGGCTTTTCAGCCACAATATGCTAACTAAGACTAAACAAGTAACAAGAAGAATAGAACTAAATCATTAACTGATTAAAAAACATAGAGACATAATAAAAATCAGGCTAAAAGCATGTTGACAAGTCTCTTATTGAAGATTTTACCGTCCGCTACCTTCTTATGGTCTTTGGAGAGACTGTTCCAACATGCAACGCCTCTGTAGGCGAACGATCGCTGCTCAGTTTTAACCGGTATCTTGGTGGGTTCAGATCTTTTTTATTCCGTGTGTTTCTGTTGTGTAGTTCTAGTCTCCTTGTAAATTTTTGACTGAGATAGTCAGGCGCCAGTCCATTTAAGCACTTGTGAACCATAACAGAATTATTTTAAAAAAAGTTTATCGGCAATAGGAAGCAATTTCAGCGACTTCAAGCCTTCAGAAATGCGATCGCACTTTCTGAGGCCGAGCACAGCATGAATATGCAGCTTTACGAAAACGTAAATATGGCGTAAATTTGCTTAAAGTTGTATGACCAACTTTACGCTAGTATTTAAAGTTGTTTAAAGACGATTAAAGATCAATTTACACGGTCGGTACGTAAAGTTGACTTAAAGATAGCGTAAAGGTGTCGAATCAGCTTTACGCTTGTTTACATCGCCACCTAAAGTGCTCTTAAAGATCAGCTTTATACTTTATACTTTATACGTCATAATTCCGCCAACTTTACGTCAATCGTTTTAGTGTTCATTTACGCCATTGATTAAATGTAGCGTAAAGGTTAACTTTACGGTTTGTTTACGTTAATTAGCGAAAGTAGCGTCTTTCTGCCAAGAAGGTGCTTAATTCTATTGATCCTAATTAACCTATACATGTAATCGGAGACTGTATTAAACATATGCTCATGAAAACTTCGTGAGGAGTCAATAGTCACACCCAGGTCTTTGGTCACGGTTACAGATTTAATCTCCTTTCCCAGCAAGATGACTAAGAGAGCAGAATATCTTTGTGTACGAGGCGAATGAAATAACCAAGCAAAATGGTGTAACTATATACCCATACCAAGAAGGTCTACGGCTATCCAGATAGAAGCATAACGCTGTGACAGTGGATAGAATCCAGAAGGAAGCTACAGTCATATAGGTGCGCTTCAAAGTTACAATTTGTTTGTATCTCAGCCCCAACAACAGACGGATCATTTTTTCAATCTGGATCTCTATTTACAGCATCAACAATAGTTGCAAAGTTTAAGACGAAAGCAATCTTTTTTTCAAGCTGTCTTGTCATGTTATTCCCTTAAGTCTCCCCAGCTTGGCTTAAGTATGCGTCGATGGCACCTATTTTGGTTCAAATTTCTGCGTTATTTATTTCACTTTTACCTCTAAGAACACTTTTCATGACGAGTCAAAATAGAAAAAAGCTCTCTGCCCAAAGGGCGGGAAAAACGCAAGGGATCAGGTCGCGATTAGTTAGAGATTTTTACGTCTGATTGGTTGAAATGGGTGACGCGAGTTTTCGAGACCAATCACAGAGCGGAAAAAGGCTAAACCAATACATTGCATAGTTTCTTTCAACATTCAATTACTCATTGAAATGCGCGTTTGACACGTGGATAAATATCTTACCGCCGCCAATGTAGTTGTTAATATAGTTATCACGCTCTTCTTAATCTCCTTTTTCGTACAATTTTTTCGTACTCCTTTTTCGTTCACTTGCTAAATGTGTGAACTTAAAACACATTTCGATCTGAACCGTTTATTTATTTATTTATTTATTTTTTGAAAAATAGAAATCTCCATTATAGACTAAAAACAATCTAACGAATGAAGGAAGTAACCAACACGTTGTGAAGAAGCATTTTACAAGTATAACGGTGCGAAATCAGTGCGAAACAGTAACCGGCACGATAGTCTCGAACCCAGACCTTTCACGGCCAAAAGCTTTCAAGCTGTACTACTATGCTTCGTTTTACTAACTGAGCGCCCGGAATTGGCCAAGTATCTGCTCAATTAAATTATCATCCATCTTTGTTCAGAATTACACACATTAAACAAAATCTGATTGCGTATCGTCAACCAATCTAAAGGTAATTCTCACTATCAGCTGAAGGCTCTTCTTCTTTCCGTTCTAGAATAAAAAAACAACGAGAAAATAAATAGGTATATATACATTGAGCTAAAATGAGGAGGTATTTTTTAGGAAGGAATAGTGTTAGTATGACCGATTATGTTAAAAATGATCGAAACTAGCCAAACAACAACCGTTCATTTATTCCGGCGATACTTTTTTCAAGAAAGCAAACAAAAAATTGAGGCATCATGGATCAATCAAGGTTCCGCGTTTAAAAATTAAGAAAGCAATTTTAACCACCCTAGGAATATGATGAAAATAAAAGATAACTAGAAAAATAAAAAAACAACTAGCCGCGATTAGCTCACATTGTTCAAATAAGGCCACTTGGGGATCACTGATGCTTTCTTAGACTACTTCCAATCAGCCTTTCCCTATGGTAACGAGAGAGTTCATCGAGAAGGTAGGTTGATAACGAGGCGAGTCTCGTCCTGTTCTCCTCTCGTCCCACACTGTTCTTTTTTTTGGTTTTCGCCTCATGTCGAAACCAACAACAGGTTACGATCTGTATTGGCGCTCTTAATATTACCTGCATCTGCCGAAGTATCGTTATCTTCATCGTTTTCATCGTTTTCATCAGGTACATTACGGTCACTCCCTTCCCCTGTGTCCTGAGGATTCTTTTGTTCCACAGTATCGGATCCTACAAGATATGAAGAAAGCAAAATTATGTAAATGCAATCTGTCTCAGTTCCTGATAAAAAAAAAAAAA